GGCCGCGCCAGGCCGGGCCGAGGCGGGGATGCCCAGGACAGGCTGGATGCACCGCCGGGCGGCCCCGCTGCCGCAAGCGCCGAGCACGGGCCCTCGCCGGCAGCAAAGGAGCCGTCCCCAGTGTGGACCCGCCGGGGCGGGCGGGAGCCCGCAGAGACTCTCCTGAGGAGCGGGAGGAGACTCCCCGGGGGCCCCGCTCGGGACGGGGGGGAGTGTCTCGAGGACGTGCACACCCAAGACCTCACGGAAGGAGGTGAGTTGTCTCTGGGCGGCTGCTGCTTCCGCGGCTGCAGGAGATCCCGCCTGCCCCCGGGAACCTGCGTCCCGTGTTTAGTTTTGCTGCGCTCTTGTAGGTGTCACTGTGAGCTCCCAGCGACACCGGCGCTTTGGGCGGGATCCCGAATGTAGGAAACCAGAGGATGCGATTGGGAGCGTTCAGCACACGTTTTGTTGGTGGGCATTTGTGTGGCCGGAAGGAGCTAAGGCAGAGCCTGCCTCTTGGAGATACCTCTCCGTGTTGTTAAACGTAGGCGCTCCCCAGAAGAAAGGGCAAGAAACCAAAGAGAGTTTAACTATTGCTTTTTTCTCCCCCTCCCCCCGCTTTTTAATAACACGGGAAGGGCAGCGCATCTCAAACCAGACCCAAAATACATTTTGATGGGAACTTGTTGCCACAAGTCACCATTGAGTGATTTCTCTGCCCTCCACCAGTAACAGGTGCTTCAAAGACAGTTTCTTCTTAACATCAGGTCATTAAAGGTCGATTTGGGTCGTGAGACATCAAGCTTTTTGTTATTTATGCATTTTTATCTTTTCTAATGCAACTAATGTTCTTATTTTCCCTATAGCTAATCTTTTACAATATTGAGTGGTTTGCTTCAATATACCTTGCATCAGTGAGTTTTATGATTAGTAATGGCTTTTGTAACGAAGTCCATCGTGTGAATTAATATTTTGACAGCTGTTTGAGGATGCAGGGTTCTGTTTTAAAAAATGCCACGGTAATCTTTTACATTTAATGTTTAAAATTCAGTATTTTGCTAGGGGTATGCAAACATTGGCCAAAGTTTAAACATCCTTCTTTTAAATGGTTCATATTATTGGAGGCTTGTTTATGAATTGTCAGCCTATGATGAAAGATTAATTCCTTCTGGAAAGTGCCTGTAATAGGAAGCCACCTTGTTCTTTTTCAAGAGCCTCCCTTGGCTATGATGCATTGTACCTTTCTCCTAATTTATTATAAGAATTGGCTTTTTAACCTGAACTGGCAAGAGAGACTTCAAAACTTCACACTGTGATTCCTTTACGATTATGAGTCTTGCGTTACTCTGGGGTTTGTGGCTCACAGGCTTGTGTAAAAGAGAAGTAAAGAGAAAAGATAACTAGAAAGGAGTAGCTTAAACAAAATTACGTTAATACATGCTATTTGCAGGCAAATCTCCTAAATTGCATAGAGAGGAGCAAGTTATTTTGCAGAGAGACCCTCACCCAGGTGACAACCATTCTTCAAAGCAAGCATCCCAAGGGAGAAGTCCACTGCTGGCACTTAAAGCTTCTGTCATGGTCAAGCCACTGAAGAACTCCAGAGCTGGTGAGCCGCACCAGCAGACAAAGGAAGAAGTTGAGGATGTTGGGCTGTTTATTCCATTGGGTGAGCATCATGCCAGGAATAGGTGACTTTGTGATGTAGGAGAACTAGAATGTCAGAAAGGAATCAAATAAGCTGGACCGGGGTCTCCACATTCAGGTGTAATCATTTTGAGTGGAGCATTCAGTTTTTGTACTGTAATACAGTGACTGCCCAATTCCAGTGGAGAGCCACTTGATAACCTGTTTCAAAAGTAACCAGAACTGATCTCCTAACTTTTCTAGATCACTTAACTAATATTTGGGTCCTAAGAGAACAGGATGGAACAATTTTATTCCTTTCCCCTGAGTCAGCAGCACAAGGAGGTTTGAAGTATATTGAATCTGATAAGCAGGGATCCTGGTTTTCTGTGATTTTAAAAAAATTACAAATTCTCTGATTAAAAACCCCAAAATCTGTTATTAAAATTAAAAGCTCTACCCCCTGTGCCCCTCACTCGCCCCCACAAAAAGAGGGTATGCCCCCACTCGTGCCTCTTGCCCCCCACCACAGCCCCCACAAAAAGAGGGTATGCCCTCACTCATGCCTCTTGCCCCCCACCACAGCCCCTGCCCACCAGCCCTGCCAGAGGGGGCCCCCAGCTGCCAGGACTATGGAGCCAGGGACCCTAGTCTGCAGCTCCCTCCCTCAACAGCTGCAGCAGAAGCAGCATGGAGCTGGCTCTCCCACTGCTGCTGCCTGCTGATAACCCCAGCAAAGTGTGCATCCAGCCTCCTTTTGAAGATCTCCAGGGTAGCTGCCTGCACCACCCCCAATGAGAGTCTAGACCACAATTTATAGAATCCATCTTTTTCAAGGATTGTGTTTGGCACTCCGTTAGAGAGTCACAGCATGCATAGGAGCAGGGCAGAATACTGAGATGGTTTCTGTGATTCACAGTTCCTGATCAGCAAGTGGAAAACTGCTGAGACCTATTGGTATCTACTGAATTCTAGCTTCAGTATAAAGATCCACTGCCTGAATGTGAGACTGATATTAATTGAGTTACGTATTTTGTAACTGAATCTTTCATTACTAATTTTCAGAGGAGCAAGGTGGAGAGGAAGGTGAAAGAAGGAAGAGAAAGAGGAAGGCAATCAAGCGAAAACGGGAAGGGAAATGCCAAGAAGAGGAGGGGTCGTTGGGCTGTGACATCAGGCTAGATGACGCCCTTGATCGCACCTTGGAAGATGGAGCAAAACAGCACAACCTGACAGTTGTCAATGTGCGGAATATCCTGCATGTGAGTGGGATGAGGGATGGGAGTAGTAGGAAAGGAAATGCAACTGGAGCATCTTGAGAAAGTACTGGCTAGTCTGAGATTATCCCTAAGCATACCATTGGATTTCATAAACAGTGAAAACAGTGATCCTTTCGATAGCACGTCTTGTAGGATATGCTGTAAAGAGAAGGAATGGGTGAACTGTGTGCTATACACAATTTACCTAGATCTGGCTTTGTTGCATTGCTTTTCTAATAGATGTTCATCCTTGAGTTCTCATAGCAGGCTCTTTTGCAGACTGTCTGGTGTGGTAGTGCTAATATGGTGCAATGCAGCCAGGACCAAGACATGCTGTTGGACAAGAGGATATACATTGTGAAGGCAAAATGTCATGTTTTCTAAGTTGATTGGGTTTCTTATTAGTCATGCAAGATATCCGGTGGAGCTATTTGGGGAAACGTAGTGCTTATCATGATTGAAAGCTTAATTGTAGTGGGGAGAAGAGCCATATCTCTCTAGTTACCTAGAGCAGCTTGCGAATTGGTTCATTCTGTTGGGAAGTATTTGTGCTCAGGTTCTGCTTGGTTCCTTAACTGGAGAAAATTAATACAGTAGATTGTACTGTTTACTTTTCTGCATTTTTGCAATGCAGTAATAACATTCTTGGGTGCTTGCCCTGTGTAGTGATCCAAGGCCACCACTGCTTCTCTTTCAGGCAAATTAACCAGTTGTCACTATGTAGATGTCATAAGGTAGTGAATTCGCCTTTGTGTGCTACGCGGTACTCATGTAAGAATGCTAATGTCATAGTTACTTTTTTCCCCCCAGCACCCCGTTCTGTCCATCTACTTATAAAATCTGAATTTAGAGTCTGTTGTCTTTGAGCTCTTCTTAACTTCTCATTTTTACTTCGTATGAACTTTTTGTTTTTCCGTTTCCAAGTATTTCTGTCGTACTACGCAGCCTGCTCTGAAATGATGTAATGTATTTGCCTAGGAGAAGGCATGCAGTGAATTAAGATATACCGTATGCAGAGTTCCAAGGCTATCAATGTATGTGTTTTGTGAAGGTTAAAATATAAACTGTCTGTTGCAGTGGTGTTCAGCGTTTCTTGCTGTGCAGGCTAGATGAATGACATGGGGCTGGATCCTATGCATAGGGTCAGTCTGTGGGCCTGATCCAGTGTTCTGGTGCATTGGGCCATGTCATCTAGAGTGCAAGGCTTCCCACAGGTTCACAGATTTACTGGCAGGGAAGCAGTGGCAGTGTTGATTGCTGCAGCTCTGAGGGCAATTAACAGTGATACCAAATTTTCAGACTCATGGGGAGCTTCCCAGCCCAGGTGACATGGCTCTGCAGACTGGATCTGGCCCACCGACCCAAGGTTGATCACCACTGCTATAGTGGTGCCTCACAGCAGCTTTTCCTCCCATGCTCAAGATCAATGAGTGTTAGTGTTGCAGTGACTCAGTTTTATGTATGTGAGGGGAAAAGAGCTGATTTAAAACAAGTTGTGTGTAGATTGCTCTGTATTCTTATTTTGGTTGCAAAGACTTTCATAGGTTTAATTTACATTGTTTGTTTATATAATGTAGGATCTGTTCTTTATCACAAGGGGATACTTAATATTTTTTAGTCCTCTCTGGATTTGTTTTTAGACCAGGCTAAGATTGCATTGTCAAAGGATGGTATCCCCCCACTTTTCTATCAAAGGTATTTCAGGTTGGAGGCTTTACAACAGGAGTATAAAGGAGACGGTTAAAGCCAATATTTATGTTTCTGCAGGAAGTGATCACAAATGAGCATGTGGTTGCCATGATGAAAGCAGCCATCAGTGAGACAGAAGATATACCCATGTTTGTAAGTAAGAGGTTTTTATTCAGTCCGTACCTGTTCATATGCATTATGCCTTTGGATACTCAGTAATGAAGCTTTAGTAATGATCTGATATTACAGAGAGGGAATGGAGAAAAGGTTGGATTAGAATTAGAGGTACACTGATGTATTGGTTTGATATTGGATCGGCACCAGTATAGGGAAAATTAAGAGTATCGGCAATTGCCTTTTTTTGCCCGATGTGACTGATATTGTGGCCAGTAAATGCCCTGTACGTGCACACAGCCGCAGCATGCATGTGGCCAGGAGCGCAGCCTGGTGGCTTGGAGAGCAGCATGGGCTGGTAAGTCTGTTGTGAGGGAAGGGGCATGAGGCGGGGGCAGATAGAGATCTCCGCTGTGAGGGAGGGGGTGGGGCTGGGGCAGGCTCGGCTGAGATGGGG